AAATCTAGATTATCGCCAATACCGCCGCCAATATCTCCCCCGATATCTCCGCCGACTCCTTTTTTGAGGGCAATATTTGAATGAAACCAACGATAAGATAGTGAACGCAAAAAACCAGTGAAGACAAGCAATAAATTGACTATTATTTCAAAAAACTGTATTCAAATAGTGTTTAGTTTGACGGTTAGAGTCGACAGTAGTTTTGCAAAAATAAATTTAATTTTTCAAAAACTCTGTCCCAAAACTTGTAACCGTTATTAACTAACTGTCAGTTAATTATTGTGAACAAAATGGTTATCTGGTCTCAGAGGACGGACACACTGACTGCGGTGGACACCGGGAAGAGTCCGAAGACGGAGCAAAACTACAGCGACATGAATGTGATCGATGGCCTCAAACTGTTGTACAGATCGCGAGTACTTCCACTGGAAAAGCATTATCTCTTCGATGAGTTTCATTCGCCGCCATTAGAGGACTCGTACTTCGAGGCCAAGCCATCCATTCTGATGGTCGGCCAGTATTCCACCGGAAAGACTACTTTCATCAAGTATTTGCTGGAGAAGGAGTACCCGGGTATGCGTATAGGACCCGAGCCCACGACCGACCGCTTCATCGCCGTTATGCACAACACCACCGAAGGACTCATTCCGGGCAACGCTCTGGTCATTGACGCCGATCGACAGTTCCGACAGTTGGCAAAGTTTGGCAATCCTTTTCTCAATCGGTTGCAGATCTCGGAGACCAACAGCGAAGTGCTGGAGAGCCTGTCATTCATCGACACTCCGGGCATATTGTCGGGTGAGAAACAGCGGACAGATCGCGGCTATGACTTCACGGGTGTTCTCCAGTGGTTCGCCGAACGCGTGGATCGCATTGTACTCATGTTTGACGCCAACAAACTGGACATTTCTGATGAGATGAAGAGCGCCATCGAAGCCCTCAGAGGACACGACGACAAAATGCGGATCATATTGAATAAGGCGGACACCGTTCCGCCCAATCAACTGATGCGAGTCTACGGCGCTCTCATGTGGTCGTTGGCCAAAGTGTTGCGGACACCCGAAGCCGTGAGGGTCTATATCGGCTCCTTCTGGGACCGACCCCTTGAATACGATCTCAATCGACAACTCTTTGAAACCGAAGAACAGGATCTGTTGAATGATTTGACGACACTTCCCAGGGATGGACGGCTGCGGCTGT